CACTGTATTTCATTTATTTATTTTTTCTATTCTAGATATTCTCATGCCATTCTTCAGGTAGTCCTATTGTTCCTTTGTTTTATATAGGTTGCCGTCACACTGGCCATAAGAACCACAGTTGTGTTAATTTTAAAGCTATTTTAAAGTTATTTAAATCAATTTATAAATTCCCAGGCACATGACAGAAGGGGGAAATTGATTTATTTGGCCTGCAAGGTGAGTTTTTTTTCAACTAGCAAGCAGGGGCTTTTAAAAAAAGTCCTTGCTTCTAAATGGATTCAGTTCAATGTGGTTTTCTGGTTGTGAATTCTGATGTCATTTTAATTTGTACCTATGTGGATTTAGGGGCACAAGCAACACACAGAAATTAAAGAAAGGGCTGGCAAGGTGTAAGAAGGTGAACTGACATTCAAGAACTACTGACCATCCTCCATGTCCTGGCATGCTTGCTCTGCGCGCACTCTGCACCCTACAGAGTAAGCATGTCAGGAGCATCACTAGGTGACACTTGATTTAGTGATGTTTCGCTTACTTTTTGAGAAAATATAATAAACCAAAAGTGTGTTCTGCAAACATAGTTGGTGTGCTCAGCAAGTGTAAATGGAAAGGAGTCAAAACAATTTAAGTCAATTAGAATGTGCCTACTGAATTACAGTATACACCATATGGCTGGAGTTGCGGCACGAAACGATGTAAATCAGCTGTGTGACCGAGTCCTAACTCTGTGCTTGATTCTGTTCATACACATGCTAGTTCCAGGATTTATGTGTAAGTAAACATTACTATTTCAGTCTTCTGTATGGATTTTTATTTTTAATATTTAAATAATATTGTTGATTAACTCTTATTTATGCAATTTTTTATTTGTTAATTTAGACTATGACCCCATCTATGTTTACTCAGAAGTAACCTGCATTGAGTTGAATGAGATTTGCTCCTAGCTGGTGTCTACAGGATGGCACTGACACCCTGGGATGAGTAGAGACAAAGAAAAAAAATACTTTGTTAGATTTTAATGACTAGAAGTTAATAGCCTCTTGCAATGGCAGCACATCAGCCTGTGATGTAGCTTGCTTTGTGCAGTAAACTCAGTGAAAATTGATGGCGTGAAGAGTAGTGAGAGGCAATTTCTCGACGTCAGTCCAACATCTGGTTCTAAACACTAGGGAAGAGGGGAAACTGTGCCTGTAGCAGTGGCCCATTTATTGTTGGTATAGCACACATGAATTGTGCAATACTTTAGGCCAAGGATGTGCAGCATCCAGAGATATGAAGGTGCAAGTGGCCACACTCAAACCGCAGTGGTATGCAAGCACTTTTGTGCCCTGAACCCCAAAATACATTTATTTGGAAAAAAATTGATTTTTTAAAAAAAAATTACACAAAGACTGAAGGGGGGTAAAGTTGACTAGTGGGAACCAAAACATGGCAAAATTCTCTCATACGCCCTAAAGGGCAGAAAGTAACTTTTAAAACTTTTAAGAACATGAGTGGGGGGCTGCAAAGGTGCTGGGATATATATATTGTCCCCTTGACATCCTCCCCAAATCACTCAACTCTTCTCATAGGCATCCTTCAGTCTCAAGAGACTATGGTAACATGCTCTGAATCGAGGAGTGTCCTCTCCAGAGCATGAAGCCCGGGTAAGGTAATATGGAGGATAGGCTGTTACCCAAGCAGCAGATCCCCCCTCTCCACATTGCTGAAATGATCCAATGGAAAGGCAAGAGCCAATACAACTGGTTCCAGCAATGTCGCAGGAGTTGGCAGAACGACACGAGCTGCCTTCGGGACTCCAGCTCCGGATTTTGCCTCGAGGTTAAAGTGTATGACATGTTATTGTCAGTTAGCTGATACACCCATTGCCGGGTAGGTGGGGCTCGTCAGCCATGGAAGGCAGCCCATCTAGGAGAAGGAAAACTCCGATTTCAAACCTCCACTGCCTTGTGGCTATATCCAGTCAACTCTTCTACTTCCATGAATTATCAGACATTATAACCTCTGATATAGATCATAGGTTACTCATTTTTCTAGAAATTACTCATGGAAGTACCCCCAAAGTTATTGTCTATATCTTCCCATCTCGAGACTACTGAAGACATAGACTGAGCGTGTCACATCCTGGAGAAACAGAAACTGCCTCCTGCAGCTTGCAGAGATTGTTCCCAGGCTTCTACTTACTCTCCAGAGCTTTCTTTTTGGCTGGCTGGCACAGCTGGAGTTGGGGCAGCAATTGAAGTGCACCAAGAAACTCCCGCCTTGCTTGTCAGAGCCAGGTTGTCATGGTCCACAGAGCCTTTTGAGTCCAACTCTCCATCAGCTAAGCAAGCTCATTGGTGGCAGAAGTCCAGGTTGCCGTGTTACGAGTGGCTGCAGCTGCCTCAAGTATCGGACCATATGGTTGTAGCTTTCTAGAAAGAACACCCCCCCTCGCTCTCCGCTCACCCTCTTTGTTTCAGTCTGGGCTCTCTCTTTCCACAAGTTGTGTTTTTTTGTTTTTTGTGGGACTGGTGAGGGTCCCTCCATCCATGATGGTGGGCTCCCCATTTTGGCAAGACCGCTAGCTGTGCTCCCTACCTGTAGGTCACCGGTGGATTGGGGCAGCAACAAAGTGGCGGTAGGAGATGCCCTCAAAGCCACAGCCGTGGCCATGTCAGAGCTACGACTTAAGGAAAAGTGGGAAAGGGTGGAGGAGGGAATTCTGGGCTGATGCCTTTGACTGGGAGGTGTGCAAGACTCCGGAGGTGTTACCAGTCTAACCCTACCTGAACAATGACTGAGAAGTGGTCTGTTGATGCAACCCAGAGACCAGTAATTGGTAGACCTCTTGGTGCTACCTGGGGAGGCTGCATGTATATGCCAGCATGAGGCTTACTGCCAGGTTCATCGCCATGCCCAGTGGCAAGAGGAGAAGCACTCAACTCAGCCAACTCAGTCAGAGGCTCCTGGTGGCATCCCTCAACCTGGTTTGAGAGAAAGCCCTTGCCCCATAGCATTCCACCTACCACCCCACTAGTCTGACAAAGCTAGTCAGGTTTGAGTGGACTTTGGGCAAGCCTCCACAGAGAGTTATCAGGCCTATGGGGCAGTGGAAGAGCAAGAAGGGCAGGGAAGTCTGGCCTGGGTGGGTGCCTACAGGGAGAACTGAAGGCATGCATCCAGTATCCCAGTCATGAGACCCCTTTCCTGGCCCACCTGCAGAGAGTTCTGGAATTGGTAGAGGAGAATGATCTCGTTTCCTCACCATAGGAGGACAGGAGAAAGAGGTCTAGAATGGACTGGGAGTGCAAATAACGTTCAGCCACCAATGGGTGGACATAGTGGGGTCCTGTTGGCCCCTTAAGGTTGTCTTCTTTCATTAACCGTGTGTTGGCTTCAATAAAGAGCCTGGTTCTGCAGCAACTTAAAGTGCTGTTATGGTGAGGGCCACTCACAGTTCTTGTTTCCTTTTTTTTATTTTAGAAATTATGAATACAAAAATCAGTTGAAGCTTATTGTGTTTCCTTTTCAGTTGTGTCCTTCAACCACAATGAAGGTAGGGAAAATTCTTCAAAAAAGGAAGGCTGCAGAAATATCTGGATTGGAACATACAGGGATAAAAGCAGTCAATGAATGTGGATCAGTGGAACGCCTTTTGTGAAACCCGCAATGTATAGCTGGGTTGCTTTTATCAATTTACAGGCTAACATTCACAATCAGTGTTTTACTGCGCTAGACAAGGAAGCTATATCTAGGAGCAGTGCTCCCTCAGGTGGCAAAATCAGTGTAACGGTGAAAACACAATGGCTAAATCTGGAGGAGGAGGTAAGAATCCCCAACATCCCAACCCTCGCAGGCTACCCATTGGGAACATTGTGACCAGTTGTGTGTTCAGTCTCACCACCAGTGGCAGAATGGGGAAATGGCAGGCAGCTTGCTGGAATAGGCGGTGCTTACATGATATGTCTTCTGCTCCATATTTCGGCAACAAGATATTATTTATTTATTATTGAAAGTATCTATATCTCACCTTTCTCCTAAAAAAGACCCAAGGTGGCTTACAGAGTTTTTTTTTAAAAAAAAAAGAATAATAAAGGCTCAACACAATGGGTCATTACAATAATAATAATAATAACAAAAGAATTAAACAAATTTAATATTAAACCGAATAGATGAAAACACATTAAAAGCACAACAGTCCTGTAGTGGCAGCCAGTCCCTAAGGAAAAGCCCATCTGAAGAGAATTTTAAATATCCCTCTTAGTGGCAGCCAGTCCCGTCTGAAGAGAAAGGTCTTTGCCGGCTATGGAAGGACAGCAAAGCTTGGGCTCCCATGGGATGGGTGTCATCAGAATTATCTCTGACATGTGAAAAACTTCCTTACATTAGGAAGAACTTCCCAAGAGTATGTGTTGTTTTGACAACAGAATGGGCTACCAGTGTAACACTAATACTGCAATTTTTTTTTAAGGTGAATTGCTTCAGTTCAAGGAATTTTGTGTACTGAATCACATGACTTATCATGAAACAGATAATGGTGGCATTGATTTCTTAACTTGGGTAATTTGTCTCTGAAAGTTATGCCATTAGTGTGACGCTGATGATGCAAGAAGACTTTGGCCATTGTTTGCTTATTCATGTGCCATTGTTATTTGATAACAGCAACAAGCATCCCATGGAACAGGCCTCACTCTTGAAAGGCTCAATCAACAAACAATTGCATTGCTTCATGGCTTGAGTTCTGCATGTTTACTCAAGGGATCTAACATCCCATCTTTAATGGGGCTTACCATTATCAATATTGGCACAGGGACTGCCTTGTAGCTATTTAGTTGCCAAATTTGCAATTTAGATTTATCATGCCACACATCATCTTAACTGCCTTAAGGCAGAAGGTCAAATGGTAGTTGTTGTTCATATACAGTACAAATAATAAAAATATGGACACAGTAAATGTTTTGTTGGTTGGTTGGTTGGTTGGTTGGTTGGTTGGTTGGTTGGTCGGTCGGTCGGTCGGATGGATGGATGGATGGATGGATACAGAATAAATATCAAAAGACAGAAGAAACACTGAACGTTGATTACAGCACTAGTTATCACAGTGTTCAGCCTTTTTGTTGATGTTGATGGGGAACACATGGCTTTCCAAATGTAGCTGGATTGCAGTTCCCATCATCCTTCAACATTGACCTTAGTGACTTGAGCTGATGTGAATAGTAGCATCATGGAAGGTGACCGTTTTCCCAACCTGAGCTTGAGAGGGACACATCATAGCCTATCCTAAAGTTTCATATAGAGAATTGGTCAGAAAGGACATTGTGAGTGAACTGTGAGACAGGTGAGTGAAAATGAAGGCAGGAGAAAGGCTCAGGGAGCTATCAAACGAGCTGGAATAGGCAGAAAGCAATGGAGTGTTGTGGGTCTCTGAAATCAGCTTGTGATGTTGCAATGGGGAGGGGGTATTGATGACCCCCTTTCTACCTATTGACTGGATGCCAGAGGGACAAACAGGTTATGTAGGTCAGCCCTGCCCTACACCACTGCCATGTTTCCCTGAAATACTTTCTTATTATTCCGGAGTACCTTTGAGGATTCCTTACACATAGATGCCCTTTGCAGGTACACCTGTATGCCTGGAGAACTCCTTCCAAAGGACATCATTAGATGGAGGTCTGTCAGAGGAGCATGGTGGTGGAGCACAATGATGGCAGGACGATCCCAGCTTACCCTCTCTGTATAATTGTTTAATGAATATTGTGCGTAACGTCCTCCACTGCCCCATTTTTTTCTCCCATCCTTATGTCCAGACTGAAATCAATGACGAATGTTATCAGTGAAGTTGGACATCTTAGTTTTGGTCAAGATTGTATTTTCTCACAGATGGAGAACCGGTACCCTAAACAATCAGAAGCAACTAGATTCCCACCCTGTATGGAGACACAGATGGGATAATTACTGGAGCCAGCATCAGGAATGTTAAATCTGGAAAAGAAAATAATGGTTTCTGTAAACAAAATGTAATATTCTTCACTAGATGTTCTTACATAAATTGAGAAAAATTGGACATTGGAGCCCACGTAGCTTCTCTCCAGGCCTCCAAATGGGAGACTAAGCATCATATTATCTGAAGCAGCCTTCCCCACCAAATGGATGCTCTCCAGATGCTTTAGATTACAACTCCATCAGCCACCCAGCATGTCCTGTGATACATACTGATAGGGCCTACATGCAAAAACAGCTGTGTGTTGAGTTTGGAAAAGCTGGTGTACAGCATTTCTAATGAAAGCCTGAAAATCATATGAAAATAGAGAGCATTTTTCTGTAGATCCCGGACTGTTAAAGTTTCTTAGTGCATATGGAACTCATATGCCTGTTTTTTGAACATGCATTTTTTACACATTTCATAAGACACTTATTTATTGTTTCAATTTGATATACTGCTCCTGTTAATGCTGCAGCTCTACTCTGGACAGTTCCCAATAAAACAAGAAACAAATGTGCCACACAGGTGGGCACTTGCTAATTTCTGTGATCATTTTCAAAATAAAAGGACAATCAATGTGATTCACTTATGGACTAAGGAATCCATGTAATCAAGTGCATTACATGATTTTCAAAAAGCATGGTTCTTTTACAATTTTCCTAATTAATTTCTGTAGAACGTATAGAGGGCACGTAGTCTAATGATGAAGTTGGCCATATTTAGAAACCTTAAGCATATGTCTGTAGAAGCACTGGCTGGCCAACAACTAACCGTACTGTTTCAGTGCAAGAGATCACATTAAAATAGAATATGTGTTGTCAGCAAGCTCATGCTTGCTCGTGGTAACCTGAAGAAAAATGCTTTGCTGCACATTATGGAAAATGTGTAGTTCCTGCCCACATCTCGCTCAAGCACAAAGCCATTCCCCCACCCCACCCCAGCTTGTTTCTCTCTGTGTGTTTTTCTTTCCCATGCTCTATGGCTTCTTTGAGGACAGCTTTCCCCCAACCAGTCTTCTATCTCTCTTTTCTCTGTTTCTCCCCCTTCCATCTGCATGGAATAATAAGTGGAATAAGTATATTTGAATCACATACCAAAAAACAACAAACAAACAAAACAAACCCTGAGATTTGATCTGTGTTAAAAACTGTGCTGAGTTTCACGTTCACACAATAAAATTCAAAATGTGTACTTATTTTCCTCTGAGTTGTATTACTCTTAGGAAGTGAGTTAAAATAAATGGCCAAAAATTCAAAATGTGTATTTTCCTCTGAGTTGTATTATTTTCTTAGGAAGCGAGTTAAAATAAATGGCCACTAGAGATGGGGTTATTCGTACAGTATATGAATACAAGTACCCCCGCACAGGTGGACATAAATGCCCCCGCGCAGGTGGACATAACGAGGGGCCAGACCGTCCACTCACCCGTCCACTGCTGCTGCCGGCTCTGTGTTTCCTTCCAATCGCTCTGGAGCTCCCAGTTCACTAGCCACTCCTGGCAGATGGAAGGAAGACAAGCCTCCCTGCCAGGTTGACGAGTGGGTAGCCAACTGCGAGCTCTGCAGTGATTGGAAGGGGGACTGAAGCCAGCAGCAGAAGTGGATGGGTCGGTGGGTGGGTCCAGCCACCACTGGATCCTCTTTATGTCCATCTGTGTGGGGGTATTTGTATACCTATACAAATACCCCAATCTCTAATGGCCACCAGAGGGCCATTTTTTTTTTCTTAATTGACTTAAGCCCCTTGTGAACAACATTATACCCAGTTTTAAAAGGGAGCCTTTCAATTACTCAGTAGGAATGCAGGAAACGACTAAAAAAACCCACATGACTTGAACTGGTTAAGATTAAAATGGTACATGTGGGGTTTTGAGAAATGTAGATAGGCACTGAAGCCTCAGTCTGCCATCTTATCCAGAAGTAAGCAACATTCACCTCACTGAAATGCATTCACTTCCTGACGTCCTGGCAAGTGGCTTTTGCAACTGCAAAATGAAGTACTGCATTAAGCATGTGATGACAGAAGATATGAAAAATTTTCCTATATAATAAGCGAGCATTTTAAAAATCCCTGTATCTTCAAATCATAGGATGGATCAACTTCAAATTTTTAAAAGCGTGTAGCTGGGAATTTTTTTTCTTTCCTAGAAGTAGTTGTAGGTGTTTGAAAAATAACCACTGAATCTACGACAAGTGGTGAAAAATGGTAGGAAAACATGATCCTGAGGGAGGGTGTGGGGTATTTTTGACACTAGGGTGGATAGGCATTGTAGTCAAACAACACCTGGAGGGCAGCTTTATCAAAGGTAGAGCAAAGGTGCCAGATAAAAATGATGAGAGTCCCACCTAGTCCTTATTAATCACTTTGCCAAGTACAATGAACTTACAGGTCAGTAGTGAAGGTGCTGTTGTCTTCCCATAGCCAAGGCTCGCCAGCTTTGTTGCGGGATAAACCAATCCAGTAAGAGTTGTAGGACTGTGCTGACTCAAGTATGAACTCCTGAATGGAAACACAGGCAACAACCTGAATTACTTTTTTACATACTTTACTTTACTTATTGAACTTATACCCCGCCTCACTAGACAAAGTCTACTCGGGGCGGCTTACACGAGTAAGAAAACATGATAAAATAACATACATAATAAAACCTACTAACTAAATAGCTAAAGTCTATATACATTGTCGAGATGGGATAGTTAAGAAACAGAAAATCAGTTAATTGACTGGAGGGAAGGCCTGCCTAAAGAGCCAGGTTTTTAAATGGCTTTTGAAAACACCCAGTGAGGGAGCCAGACGGATTTCCGTTGGGAGGATATTCCATAGCCGAGGGGCCACCACTGAGAAGGCCCGGTTTCTTGTTCTTTCCTTCCGGACTGGCAAGTAGGGATAGACTAGACCTCACCTGATAAATAAAAACACTACCTGGCGAGTAGGGACAGACCTCACCTGATAAATAAAAACACTACCAGTATTGGTAGGAAGATAAATGGCAAGGAGACAGATTTTCGGACTTTGAAGCAGGACATAGAGGCAGGAACAAGTGCTATAAATAAGGGGATAACATGTTGGATTGGATGCTGGCTGTGATGGCATCAAACTGGTACCCAGCAGACAATCTGGTTTGTTCCAGAGCTACAGCTGCCCACAAAGTGGAACCACTGCACAAGCTATTTCCAAGGGGCACCTGTATTAATCTCCTACAGCAGAAACTATGAGTCTTCTGACACCTTAAAGACTGGCAAGTTTTATTTTGAATAACATTTCATGGGCTGCAGCCCCTTTTATCAGATAAATAAAGGAAGTCTCGATAAACAAAATGCCCATGGGGAAGTGGATATGAAATACAGTGGGCATACACTTCACCTTCTGTGGCTTCATCCTACAGAATCCTGGGAGACGAGGTATCTGAAATTCTCGGAATCGGGGCCCTGAAGCTAGAGCTGTTATGGGAGACCCTTCACAAACAGCTATGAGGTCTGGGTAACCACTAACATCTTCTTCAATGGGATTGTTCCATGACAGATCACCAGAATTCTTTTTAATGTGGACTAAAGTCATTTCTGGGACCCCCTCCAGAATTAAGCCCTGAAGCTTAAGTTTCATAGTAGATCTGCTCCTGCTCAGAATCCTTTTGCTATAGTTTAGGTGAGCATAAGCACAGCATTCAAGCAGAAAATGTGAAGCCACTTACCAAATAGCAGACCTCCAGTCTCTCCAGGATACAGCCATGGCAGTCAATGTTATGTGAAACTGTATAACCATGTAATATAGACAGACTCATAGTGATAATGTCTATACGTTGTGTGTGTTCTCTACGCAGGTGGAAGAGAAGCTATGAAACCCCCAGGCTGATAGTTTCTTGAACATGAGGAGGTGGACTTGTGAGATCATTTGCTCTGGGAACATGAATGAGGGAAGGCCAGGTAATAATTTTCAAGGCTAATCTGAAGCAGGGCTTCCCTCTGATCAAATCAGAAATCAGCAGTGCATTGAAGGCAAATCAAAAAAGATACTGAAGAATACTATATTTGACCTGCACTCTGAATTTTAAATATGGCCCATTTAAGACCATAAAAAGCCACTTCATTACATTTTATAGGTATCTTAGAAAATCTTAGAAAATGAATTGTCATTGTTATTCCCTGAGGTTTCAGTTGGTGCCCTGAAGGTAGCCAGTAATATTACTGACAACACAACAGTCTGACAGAGATTGGTTACCACTAGAAATGTAAAATTTCCAAAAATGTTCAATTTTTTCTGGAAAAAAAAAATCCCGTTTTACCCTGGTTTTCCCCCCAGAAAAAAAATGGAAATTTTACATTTCTATTAGTTACCACTCTCTGGAATTCCAGCTAGCATGGCTACTGGCTTAAAATTAAAGCTAAGTATGTCTTCAGTGGTGGGGGAAAACTGTTTGGACATAGCTCCTGCGTATGTGTTGGGCCTTCTAACTATCTGAGTGTGTCACTTTTAATTTATGTAATCTCAGCAATGCCTTCCACACCTAGAGCTATTCATGGTATCTATACAAGTATGTGTTCAAATATTGAGAAAAAGAAAGATAGTCTTTACCAGTTCTTCCTTATTCTCTATTTTAAGGAGTCTGGAATTAAGTGCAGTACATTGAGCTTTGCCTTCTTCCCAAGAGTTCCACTTCATTGTGAAGAAGTAACAGTTCTCTCCACGCTGTAGCCACTTTTCCGGGCAAGGGCTGCATCGATTTCCTTTAGAATAAAACAAAATAAGGAGAAAGACTATAGACATTTCATAACCAAGAGCAAGAGTATTGAGTTCAGCTCTGCAAATGTCAAAACTACATGAAGTTATACAAATAGCTACTATAGGAAATTTATTTGCCTCAATAAATTATTTGGTAGTGATTTACTAGAAAACTTCATTTAGAAAAGTTCAGCTAACTGACACATAACTGCCTCACTTCTGGTTTTCTAGTGTGCATGCAATGATGTTTAAACACATAAGCATATATGTGCTTATGTTCAAAGCATATAAAAACACCCAACACCATTTGCTGATTACCTCTGTAGTTTGACAGTTGTTGCACAGTCTCCGAAAGGTTCCGGTTCTGGACTTGGAGGACATTCAGCTTTGTGAGAAGGATTTCCAGCATCTTTTTCTGTAAGGTTAGGTTTTCATTCTGACTGCTCACACTGTGGGAGGCCTGCAGAACTTCAACCGACAACAAAGTTACAATGAGTGTTTCCATTGCTATTACCATCATATCATGATGTCTTCTCTTGGTGATGGTGAAGCCTTGCCACCGGCAGCATGGCAAGGAGAAGAAGCAGACAGTGAGGTTTGGCAGTAATGCAGGAGTGCATCTTATCTGATCACCCCAAACCATTCGTCATATAATGTTTTTTTTCATTTACATTGGAAATAGAGATGGGCACGAAGCACGACGAAGCACTTTATACAAATCATGCCATGTGGCACCATCTCCCACCCAGCTCAGCCAGTTGGCCCACTCACCATCCTTTGTGTGCCATCAGGAACCTCCTTCTCCAGCAGCGCTCCAGTTCAGGCAGGAGTTCAGACTGCCCTTCCTTGCCTCCTCAGGCAGCTGACCACTCATTGGCTATGTGGGGAGACTCTCTGTCCTGCCTCTTTGGCAGAGTGGACAGCTGCCTGAGAAGGTGGAGATGGGCAGTCTGAGTTTCTGGCCACTCTGATGCGTCACCAGAGAAGAAGGTCCCTAGAGGCATGTTAAGAATGGTGAGTGGGGCAGGGGTGAGAGATGGGCCCTTGTGGCACTTGTGGTGCCATGCAGCATGCTTTGCATTAAGTGCTTCATGCCCATCTCTAATTAGAAACAAGTAGGGTGGCATTTTCCTTGTTGTTGCTATTATAAGTCACCAAATCGTTTTGACCTACCCTAATAGGATTTTCAAGGCATGTGAGATAATTCTGTTTATGCTTGCCACTCCCTAAGGAATTTCTATGGCTAAGCAAGGATGTGGACTCAGGTCTCTTGAACCCTAGTGCATCCCTCTACCCACAACATGACACTGGCTCTCTACTATGTCCGATATCTAGTGATGTCACAGGGAAGAAGGGAGGAGATCTCTGGCTGATGTTTTTGGAACTAGCCTTCTGATGGCTATACTGTCTACTTCTAGGCAGTTTTGCCCTGGAGATCCTGGATTCTATAGATACTCCAGAGGATGTGATTGGTAAGATGATGCTCTCAACTTACGATGAAAACTCCTCCAGAAAACCAGAGACTGACTAGGTTGACAAATAATATTGAAAACGATCCAGGATTGGGATTGTCAGATTTGTATTATTTTTCATTGACTACATGATATACATTTTTTCCTTTGCCGTGGGAACTTCCACTTTTTTAAAAAAAAAAAATTGAATACATTTCCACCAGTTTGGGTGGAGTGTTGCTTCAGCTAATGCAACTTCATGGCTGAATGAGTGACCAGAAGCTGGTTATCCCAGCTTCTCAGTTCAAGTTGGGGAGAGAGGGAGCAAAAGGACACTTGCAGGGGTGTTAGCTTCCCTCAGCTGAGCATCCCTTGCCTCTAAACTTTTTTTAAAAGACCTCATGCCAGCGCTGGTGTGCTGGAATGCCTAGAAGATTAACACACACACACACACACAGGCAAAAGAGAGAGAGGAAGAAATTAACCATCAGCCCTTGTTTACAAAAACCAGCTGGTAAAGGTCTATTTGGTTTAGCCAACCAGACAGAAGTTAGGAGACAGAGATAGAAAGGGGCGGCGGAGTATTGGCAATCAGCTTGTTCGCAGCTTGTTAAGGTAATTCTGTTGGAGCCACGCTTCCTGCAAATCTGGACCATTACATGGAAGCTGCCTTAACAAGAGGCAGACAAAGACCGGTTGCTAATTTCCTCCTTTCGCCTTCCTGACTCCTGTCTAGTCAACTAATGGGAATTCACCTGGGAAACCCTGACTTCCTGGGTATGAATTCACAGTGGCTCAATTTGCATTTTTCTCATTCTTTAGTTATAGCTTTAGAATGAAGTAAGCTGTGGGGTTGTCACTGAAGCCTGTTCATCGTTACTGCCAATTCTGCACAAAAGAAAGACAGAAAGGAAAAGAAATCTCCCAATAGTTTCCACTTCAAAGGTTTAAAACTGGGTTTAGATTCAAAAGGAAAGGTTGTAAAAACCACAATTAGAAGAGTTCTACTTGGTAGCATTTTTAAAAAGTTGCAAAGGAATCCAAAGGCTACTATTTTATAGTTCTTCAACTCTCACTTACCCTTGAAACTCAGCGTGCCAGTTACTCCAAGCAGAACCAGACCAAAGAGCCCAAGACCGACTGCTGCTGGTCGCCAATAATGCGATATGGAAGTAGATGCTGAAGCAAAGCAAGAGAAGACAGCAGAACAACAACAGACATGTCCCTCGTATATTTACTTTCATTGGCCCCTGTGCACCCATGCTTAGCTTACCCCGGACAGCCCTTTTCAGGCATGCCCTAACAGAGAACAGTTGGTCTTTCCAAACACAAGAACTTGGAATTGTGCATTTTCTTTCATCTACAATCTCATCCTCTCAATCTACATGGTTATTAGGGCCATATAATTTTCTGAGTTTTGTTTCAGTTTTTTAAAAGAGGAATTTAACTATTTAAACTATTGAAATATTTAAACCCATGCATACTGACATCTGAAATCTAAAACAGGTAGATTTGTCATTTCTCTAGTTATTACATTCCCAGCAAGGAAGATTCAAGATGTTATCTATGTGGGTCTCCCCAGCCCTCAGTTTATCTTCACAATGGTCCCTGTAAGGTAAGAAAGGATAAGAGACAGTGACAGGGCTGAGGGCCAGGTTTGGGGATGAGTTTACACCTGGTTCATTGTCTTCTCTGATCCAAGTCTGTCATTCTAGCCACAACACTGCACAGGGCCTCAGAGGTACACTCTTCCCAAGGCCAAAGTCTATCCTGGTGCCACAAGGCTATGATCATTTGGGGTAAGATTTCAGACAAAACTGGTGGATTCTGCTCTGTTTTTCTATTATTTCTATGTCACACTGACTTTCGTGAACGGCACTCTTTTCTGTTAAAGTGATACTCGTTTCTATAACATGTTCTTTTTCTGTGTCTCAATGATAAACATTTTATCAGTAGTCAAGTTTCTGGTTGAATTGTAGCATAGATGAAGCAGGATGATGAGGACTGCGAGGAATTAGACAGCATCTGCGACCTATAGTCATACAAAGGTGGAGTCTGTTAAGTATTTTGTATAGTTTGGATTCAAGCCACCAAATGTTCTCATGGGATGGTTGTTCCGCATTTACTCTGGACTTGCTCCAAGATCAAGAGAAGATCTGAGGAAGACCAAACACCACATTCCTCCTATCCCTCCTAATTGGGAATGAGATAAACATCTGCAGATCTCAGGTGAAACAGGGGTGGTGAACTTTGTTACACTCTTATAATCCTAACTGGAAGTGTCAGGAAGAAGGTGGTCTGGAGACGAGTAGAAAAATTAACAACTTGGAAGTGTCAGGAAGAAGATGGTCTGGAGACGAGTAGAAAAACTGTTGTTTTCATGTATGTGAGAGACGGAAAAGAAGACGTTGGGAGGAAGATTCGCCCATTTTCCCTAGTGAGCTGTTATGCAGAATGCTTGTCATGAGGATTACTTAGCATAGTTTTAGCTGTTGTTATTTCAACCTAAGAATCATAAGCTTATTTGAACCATAGTAACTGTTTGGGATGTGGTGTCGCTGTGGGCTAAACCACAGAAGCCTGTGCTGCAGGGTCAGAAGCCCAGCAGTCATAAGATCGAATCCACGCAACGGAGTGAGCGCCCATCGCTTGTCCCAGCTCCCGCCAACGTAGCGGTTCGAAAGCATGTAAATGCGAATAGATAAATAGGGACCACTTCGGTGGGAAGGTGACAGCGTTCCGTGTCTAAGTCGCACTGGCTATGTGACCACGGAAAGATTGTCTTCGGATGAAACGCTGGCTCTATGGCTTGGAAACGGGGATGAGCACCGCCCCCTAGAGTCGAACACGACTGGACAAAAATTGTCAAGGGGAACCTTTACCTTTACCTTTAACTGTTTGGGTATGATTATGCTTTACGCTTTTAAGGCTACAATTGTACAGTGGTGCCTCGCTTAACGATTTTAATTGGTTCCAAAAAAAACATCGCTATGTGAAAACATTGTTAAGCGAAACACCATTTCCCATAGAGATGCATTGAAAACCGGATAATCCGTTCCAATTGGAACGGATTACCATCCTTAAGCGAAAATCCCCATAGGAAAAAATGTTAAGCGAACCCCATTGAAATGCATTGAAGCCTATTTCAATGGGGGAAAAAAGTTCACAAAAAATTCAAAAAGACTCAGAACAAAGCCAAATTAAGTTAACGAAGGTTTTATTAGGTGCACTAACGATTCCAAGCATTTTAAACATTTTTTAAACATTTTAGAATATTTTAAAAATAGCAAAAACGGGGCTGTAAAAAAAAACGTTAAGCGAAACAAGGGGACCTAAAACTGTCATCATTAAGTGAAGCATGGTCCCAAAATCGTTAAGCGAAAATCGCCCATAGGGAAAATCGTTAAGTGAAGCACAAGATCACTCCAAAAAAGCCATCGTTAAGTGAATTTTTCGTTATACGAAGCAATCGTTAAGCGAGGCACCACTGTATTTTATTGGAACTATCTTATTTTCTTAATAAAACAATTATAACTCTAACACAGGACTTATCTCTTGAACAGCAAGATTGCACCTAAATCCTGTGGGGATTGGAAATGTCACTAAATGCTACTATACAGAGAGGTCCTACCTGGTTTGTCTGTTGTGCTGTCTAGGGAAGCACACAGTCCATGGTTTATTGCCTTGCAAGCAGGCAAGAGGTTTATTTCAGGTTGAGCTAGTCCATAGGGCAAGGGCTACACACTTCTGAGGCTAAAGGACCCGTCTCAGGTAAGAAAAGTGCTGGTCGCTTGTGCCTACAGTGACTCCATGCCCAAGACACTAACTCTTTAGGGAGAAGTAATTCTGACAGGGAGTGTGTTGTACACATATATAAACAACCACACACATGTCTGTGAAGGAACTGCCAATTTCCTCTCAGGTAGATGCACGAAGTAGGTTGATCCCAACAGATGTATTGCTTGAGCCACAAGCAAACCAACAGAACATCTCATTGTAGGTTCTTCATACACATGGATACAGTTCAACAATTATTAGTCAGTTTCTTGCAGTGGTGGCCATACTGATCAAGACTGGGGACACAAGGGTTCAAGTCTACCCTCCACTCCCGTGGGGTGATCTTGGGCCAGTCATACTCTCTGAGCTCAATCCTACTTTGCAGGAAATGTTTGCAGAGACAAAACACGTGAAACACCCAGAGCTCCTTGATAAAAGAAGTGGGCTTTAAAAGTTATGTCTTGCCGCATATGGCACATTCTGTGACTTTCAGGAGATGCTTACCCCTAAATTTCCCCAAAGAGCTACATGATTGCGGGCACAGCCGTCGGCACAGGTACTCCGAATTAGATGGGGAGCAGCACACACACAAGTGGGTGTGCCGTAAGCAGATCAGAATTCGAGATCGAGTGCTCAGCTGAAAGCCCTTCTAAAAAAAGATGGGATCTTACCCAGCAGCTGTTTGAGAAGGGGAGAAGGCCGTGCTGGACTGCTCCCCTTGCTCTCTCCCCTTCAGAAGAGTTCGGCTTCCTTTACCAGGATAGCCCTGGCAGCTCGGCAGAGTTTCTACAGTATTACATTGTCGCAGTTATCTTCTGCTCTACCAGTAAAACTGCTCTGTGCCTCTATTACATTTGCAGAAAGTGGATAGCGTTCTTTAATAAAACGGCCGTGAGGCTCAGGGCATGGGCTGAGCCAAATAGACACGGTTGCAGTGTTAAAGCTAAGTAGCCCACCCCCTTAGATGAAACCTACCGTACACACAGGACATAAATAACATTTCTAATCATCATCATCATCATCTTAGAACTGCAGAGCTGGAAGGGACCCTATGGATTGTTGAGTCCAATATACAGTGATATTCTTTATGGTTGGATACGATACATAAATTCCACCTTTGCAGCAACCTTCAGTTGATTCGATGGGAAGATATTATTTATTTATTTATTTATTTACGTACACACAGGACATAAATAACATTTCTAATCATCATCATCATCATCTTAGAACTGCAGAGCTGGAAGGGACCCTATGGATTGTTGAGTCCAATATACAGTGATATTCTTTATGGTTGGATACGATACATAAATTCCACCTTTGCAGCAACCTTCAGTTGATTCGATGGGAAGATATTATTTATTTATTTATTTATTTATTTATTTATT